ATCTTGTTCTATTTCAATACACGGCGAAGCCACCCTTATCACCACTATTACATCCAGTAGGCTACAATAGTATAGGATAAAGTTATAATGATTATAACTTAAATTACTGTGATAAAAGTCAAGATAAGAAATTTTCTAAGCTAACTGATTCTATTACGATTGGCATAGAAGAATGTAATATTCCACAAATTTCAGAACATTGTCCATAGAACACTCCGGGTCTGTTAATGAATGCAGAAACTTGATTTAATCTACCAGGGTAAGCATCACATTTTATACCTAAAGCTGGAGCAGCATAAGAATGTATAACGTCTCCAGAAGTTATAACAAATCTAATATGTGTTTCTTCAGGAACAATTACTCTGTTATCAACTTCTAACATTCTTAAAGCACCTTCTTCTAAGTCAGATTCTGGCACAATATATGAATCAAATTCTATAAATTCGTCACTAGAATCTAAGAAATCTGGGTATTGGTAACTTCAATATCATTGGTGACCTTCAACTGAAATAGTCATAGAAGGGTCATTAACTTCATCCATTAAATATAATAATTTGAATGAAGGAAAGGCGATTAATATTAATATAATAGCAGGTGTTATAGTTCATATTAATTCGATTAAAGTACCGTGATTTAAATATTTGTGAGAAATAGGCGATTTAGTTTCTACAAAGTATCTTATTATAGAAAATAATACTCAACCTACCGCAAATAATATTAATACTAAATAGTACATAATATTATCATGTAATTCTACCAGTCCCTCCATTTGAGGAGTAGCACTATCTTGAAAATAAATCCCTCACGCGTGTGGGGCGTCTAAGTGATAAACTAAGCTTTTTAGAAATAAATTCATATTTTAAATAGAAGTTTACGTACTTTTCCTATATTATTCATAAAGGAATTCAAATTTTATGGGTTTTACCCTGTAAAGTTAGATTATGCTACATAAAGTAATAAGAAAGCCATCATTAAAGCGAATAAACCTGTAGCTTCAGAGAAAGCAAATCCTAATATAGCATATGAGAATAATTGACCTCTCATTGAAGGATTTCTTGCTACACCTAAGATTAAAGCACCGAAAACTACACCTATTCCTACTCCAGCTCCTATTAACCCTGTTGTAGCTAAACCTGTTCCTATTATTTTGGCAACTTGTATCATGTATTATGTATTAAAAAGATATTTGTATATGGAGCTATTGTAAAGGCAAAAGACTATATTACTCATCTTTTGGTAATTTTTTTTTTACTTAGGCTAAACCATGAATTTGTATAAAGTAAATTTATTCACTGTTGTACCGACTACGTCGGGACAGAAGCCCCTCTAGGACCGCAGGCTGACTACGAAGTACGAAGACTTCGTAGCCAGCAGGCAGCAGGCAGCTTCAGCCAATTTAGCAGCTTAGGGCGGTAAAACCGCCGCGACTTCCTAGTAAAACCGCGGTGAGACAGGAAGAATTTAAGCTACTAAAGACAGCTAAATCTAATAATTTAGTATCTTTACGATATTAACCTGCTTATAGGCTATACTTTTACTACTATACTCATATATTAAGAATAATAGTATATTGAAGATTAAAATCTTCAACTTGCTATTATTGCATTGGCTTGAGCTGTAGTTGTCCCTGATGGTATAACACCTATGAAACGAGATTGTGATAGCTTTTCATTAAATATTGGATCATTTATCCCATTTCATGCGTTTAAAGCTATTAGTTTTTGCTCATAATCAGTCCTGCTAATTTCACAGTTATTATATTGAGCTAATAGATACAGTCTATGTCATTGTTTAACTCTTAAATAATGATCGTGATAAAAACTGTGACGGTGAGAGTAGCTTATATCCGTTACTAGACAAGGTTTACCTTTCATAGTTAGATCTAATACTATCGGATTTTTTCTATATAGACCCTGTTTGATAACAAATTTCCCTATATTATGACGATGTCTCATATCAAGTCTATAAGCTTCATATAGATTATAATTATTTAGCTGGTATCTCACGTGAATTCGATTATTTTTTTTTCAATCATTTTGATAAGGAGATTCATAATACTTTTCTAGAACAAAAATATCTCTAGATGATGATAGATGAGGTATTTCCCCTGAAATACTTGGTAAACTAGTAGATTGATTAATAACTACTACAAATTTCCATTGAGAATTTTCTATTCCAATATTGTCATTTTCCGTAATAAGTTTAAACAAAGGTATCTGTACTGAAGAGTCAAATAGTTTAATACCAGGTAGAACTACGACATTAGGGTTTATTTTTGATAAATCAAATATAACAGAACGTAATTTTACAGGAATAAGTTCTTGTCCTTGACCTCTTGGAGATACGAAAAGAAATAGATCTAGATTTTCTTTTACATATGTTAGGTGCTTTAAATGAATAAGCTCTTGAATATTCAAGTCTATATTATATAATTGATATGTTTTTTCATTGTTTAAATTAAATGTAGATGCTGCCTCTCGCTTTATACTCTCTTCTTGTCCTAATATATCAAGATCCGGTTCCTGTGCGTCCACGGTACTTAATGGAATTGCAGCATAAACAAGGTCTCAAAATACATTATTACTATAAAAATAGGTTTTAATTTTTTTATAACTATCCGAGATTGCGTCTAAAATAGATTGAACAGAAGATCAAATTTTTAAATTTAAAATATCCTCAGTAATATATACTATTAAATTTAATCTACTAGTTAGTACATTAAGAGCTAATTGATGGAAAGTTAAAGGTAATATAAGGGGTGTAGAATATATTAAATTGAAACGAAGAAGATAAAATGAAGATATTAATAATAAACTATTAAACAAAGTCTTTTTTATACCATATTTTTTAATTTTTTTTACATAAACAAAAAATATAAGTATAAAGCCAATGAATGCACAGAGGTATTGTAAAGATTTATTATCTTGTATAGTTAAAAAATCTTGAGTATTTATCATATATATACTGAATGTTACTATAAATAGAAGCAGAATTTGTTTAACTATTGAAATTACAAAGGCTAAAATTGAAAATTTGGGGTGATTATATCTATAATAAATAGAAAATATAAACAAGTATAAAGACCAGCTAAATCCTTGAATTCAAATTTCATTTCCTCCATTTTGAATTAGAAATTGCTGGATATTTTGTATTCAATTTTCATTTTGAGTTAGAAATTGCTGTATATCAATTAGAAATTGTTTTCCATATTGATCAGCAAAGTAGTAACTCAATAAACCAAATGAATATGTCATCATATTATATATGGGGTTAAAATTAGTTTTGACAAAACGTGTGTTGAAATCGAGTCGATTTATAACAATCAACAACTGATTGTCTACTATCTATTTTTAAGGTATTTTTACCTAATTCGAATACAAACCCTATACTAATAATAATAATAAATGCCATTACAGTTGCTAATCCGTACTGACCATTATCGTATAGACTAACAGCATAAGGATATAAAATTAAAATTTCTAAATCTAATAGTAAAAAAACTAAAGCAAAAATAAAGAATTTTATACCAAATTGAGTTCTATTTTGACCTAAGAAACTATGAAAACCACATTCAAATATACTATATTTTTCTTGGTAAGGCTTATGTGGAGCTAAAAAAAAGTTAAGATAGAAAAATATGAAAAAAAATGTCATGCTACTCATTAAAAATTAAATAAAATTTGCACCAATATGGTACCCATGCTTAATCATTCATTATTTATAAATACAAATAATAATATTACTAAAGTAATAACAGAAATAACCAAAGCTATAGGACTAGCTATAACTATGTTATTATGTTTAAATTCTAAAGATTTAATAAAATTATTAGATTTATCGTAAACATTACCGTGTAAAGTTAAATTTTCCAATAAAGGATTAACTTTATACTCTGGTTTGTAGAAGAAAATTTCTTTTACAATAGTTAAATAATATACTCCACCTACAACACTAGTTAAAATAGCAATTAATGTTATAAATATATATCCTTTATCTAAAGCTGCGCTTAATACCATTTGTTTTCCAAAGAATCCTACCATGGGTGGTATACCCATAAAAGAGAATATTGTAATAGTAAAACTTATAGCTAATAAAGGATTTATATAAAAATATCCTCTTAATTGATTAATTAATTGTACTGGAGAATTATTTTTATCTAATAGTTCTTGATGTTCTTTATTAGTAGTTACATAACGATAGAAAGAAAATCCTATAGCTATTATTATAATAAAGGCATTTAAATTACTTATAGTATATTGTGTTAAATAAAATATAAAAGCTTGAGTAGATTCTATACTTGATATACCTAAAGCTAATAACATATAACCAACGTGAGATATAGTACTATAAGCAAATAATCTTTTTATTCTAAATTGTGTTAAACCTACAACTGTACCTATAATTAATGAAAATAATGAACTTATTATTAAACCAAAAGTTCAATTTACATCTTGTCCTCCTCCGGAGCCTCCGGATGAATAAAAGTTATTACTTGTATAATAAACTAATTCTAATAAAAATATTAATATAGATATTTTAGCAACTAAAGCTACAAATGTTGTAACTATAGTAGGTATAGCGTCATAAACATCAGGAGATCAGAAATGGAAAGGAGCTGCACTTATTTTAAATAAGAACCCAATACTAAAAACTAATAAAGAAAAGTTTATATAATATGGTTGATATCAGTAAGTTATGTCACTAAAATCACTTATACTATTAATAACGTATAAACTGTCTAAATTAGTAGTACCTGAATTTGCATATAATAAAGCTGTACCTAATAAGATAAAACATGAACTTAATCCACCTAATAGGAAATAAATTAAACCTCCAGTAGTAGATAATTCAGAATTTCTATAGATTGTACTTAATATATATAAACCATAACTTTGTAATTCTATTGAAAGGAATATAGATACTAAATCATTAGTTGATATTAAGAAAACCGCACCTAGAATAATAAATAATAAAATTAAAGGGTATTCTATTATTTTTAAATGTTCTCCCATTTTATTAATAATTTTGGTTCTATAATAAATAAATTTATTAAACAATAATTGATTTAAAGAAGAGTATTCTGGAACTCATACTTTTCTAGGATGAAAACTTGTTAATTGTATAATTAATATACTTATAAAATATATAAAAATATGGAAAATTTGTGTAATATTAGTTATATGGAGTAAACCTCCATGTAACCCAATTCCATTACTTACTAAAGATAAGCTCATAGTATCTTGTAAAATACAATAAACTAAAGCTAAAATAGCTACTCTATTAAAAAGTATTGAAATATCTCGTCTTATTGTGACGGCGTTGGATAGTAATATAAATAGTATCGAAGTTATTATCATATTAAATTTTTATAACCAGGAGGGAAAATCGAATTCCCATTTTTAATGCATGAAATTAAAGTTTTAACCAATTAAACTATCCGGGTGGGGTGAATACCCTGGTTCGAACAGGGAACATACTGTGCCACAAACAGTCGATCTACCAATTGAACTATATCCACCTTATGTTGGAGTGATTCGAACACTCAATTGTAAATACCAAAAATTTATGACTTACCTATTAGTCTACAACATAATTTTATAAGGTGAACCCGACTTGAACGGGTACGATAAATAAATATCAAACAGACCTAAACTGTTAATGTCTACCAATTCCATCATCACCTTTTTTTAATGCGGCTGCGAAGCCGCAGCCGAAATGTTTACTTATTTATCTTCACCTTTTTTAATGCTCGAGATAAGACTTGAACTTATAACCAAAATAGCTTCAATATTTTGCTCTACCAATTGAGCTTCACGAGCTTTACTATAGTGGAGACATCAGGAATCGAACCTGAAATGTTGATATGCAAAATCAAAGTCTTACCAATTAAACTATATCCCCTTTATTCATTATTATCCGAAAAACGACTTGAACGTTTACGAAATTTCATCAGTATTGTTTAAGAATACCCTGTCTACCTATTCCAGCACTCGGATTTAAAGCTTGGCTAGCCCTGCGTAGTGCGTAGCGCGTAGCAGGGATCGAAGCCATATTCCACAATGAATAAGGCTAAAGTGAGTTGAACACTTATGATTACTGTCATGAGCAGTATACTTTACCAATTAAGCTATAGCCTCTATTATACGGATAAAGGATTCGCACCTTTATATTTTGATCATGAGTCAAAAATGTTACTATTACATCAATCCGCTTAGACTAGGCGGGGTTTGAACCCGCGTATGTAGCATTGAAAGAGCTATGTCTTTACCACTTGACTACTAATCCTCATGGTAAGCCCAGTGCAAGTATCGCGCTTGCGTCTATTGATTACAAAACAATTGCATTACTTTTATGCTAACCAGGCTTTCATTTGTGTAAATTTTCACACACCTTTAGTGTTAGTTGCCGACGTAGTCGAGCTTGCGCGACGTAGTCGAACAATACGAAGCCAGCCGGGCTTCACTATCCTGAAGCTCGCCAGTAACTAACAAAATGAATAAAATGTAAGATATATTAATAAATAGTTACTTTAAAATTAGTACTTTGTATCTAAAGATCTCTAGATCATTACAAACAAAGCCTATTGCAATAATAATAATATTATGCCGTAATAGTATATTACGTGAATTAGAAATATCTTAAGGTAAGCTTCGTGCCTATATGCTTTCAGCACTTATCTTTAACTAACTTAGCTTTCCTGCCGTGCCTATAATATATATTTACTTAAGTGAAAGTAACATCCCTTATAAAAATACAAATTTTTATAATAAATTAATATTGGGCTTATAAACAACAGGTAAACCAGAGGTTAACAATTAATATAACCTAGCCTTTTGAGTTAAGTTTTTCCTGTTCCTTTCGTACAAAGGTTAATCCTTATTTTATTCAAATTCCCTCTAGAAGATAGAAACCATACTGTCTCACGACGTATTTAACCCAGCTCATGTAACTTTTTAATCGACGAACAGTCGTACCCTACATAGTTTCTGCATCCATGAGGATAAGTTAAGCCGACATCGAGGTGCCAAACCGCGCACTCATTTTGTACACTCTTGCGCAAATTAGCCTGTTCTACATGTTATCATAATAAATTTTATTTCCATTTTTCACAAAATGGTTCAGACTATGTCTTCATTTTTATTTTTACCATAACTTATTTAGTATTATGAGTCTTAGTTAGACTACTAAATAGAATTATTTACCACTTACTCAACCTTTTACAGCGAAAGATCCTACACGACGTTTGGATGTAGATAATGAATAAATTACATTAGGTTTAAAATAACCTCTGTAAGTTACTGTAGATAATTTTTTATAAGAAGAATCTATATTCTTTAATCCTCCTTTTCATTTAATTTTAAATTGAGATCTATCCGCTCTATTCCGTCTTGTTAATCTTCCTTTAACTTCTAATCTTATACCTCCTAAATTTTTATAGTTAATAGAATTAAATATTTTATTTGAAATATTGCTACCTTGCAATTTCGAATTTTTTTCTTCTAGATTCTCTAATAATGAATTTAAAAAACAAGAATATCTATATTTTTTGTGCGGCTGCGCCTTCGCCGCCGCGCTTAGTATAGAAACTAAACTTAAATTAGGATAACTATTTTCTAATAAAGTTGAATCTTTAGACTTCATAATACTAGTTTTTTCCTGAATTCTATTTATTTCAGGTAATCTAGCTACTTTTAATAAACTATCCATTACTGTTATAACCTGAGATTTAGGTTTTCTTAATTTTAAAGATAAAACTTGAGTAAAAATCTCCGGATTAAAAACCAAAGATTTTAAATTTATTATATTAAATTCAATAGTTTTATTAAATATTCTAGATAACATATTACTTAATTTATATAAATAAATATTTCTTTCAAATTTGTATTTATTTAAATAATAATTTAATTGGTATTGTCTTAATAAATCGAATTGATCAAAACAAGATTTTTTAACTTGTCTACTTAAGTATAATTTTAAATATAAATTAAAACATTGTAAAGACTCAGTTAAAAATTTATATTTAGAAAAAAGAATTTGTTTTTGATCTTGGTTTTTAACTAAAGCAATACTATTTGTATTAGTTAATAAGCTTGTGCTCACACTGCTCACACTGCTCACACTTTGTATTTTTTTCAGGCGAAGCACAAATCCATCTTTAAATGAATTTAAAACTTTATCTTCTCAAGATTGAGCTAATTTTTTATATTCATTATATATAAGATTTTTCCCTATATTGACAGTGTATAAAGTTATTATAGCTTTAGAATTTGTATGTTTTGTTTCCATTTTACTTACATAGATTTTTTTTAATAATAAAGTTCTTTTTCTAGGAGATATGAATTTTGATCCTATGAATTTATGATCAGCAAAATGTAAATTAAAGTAACTTTGTATTACTTTATTTGCATTTATATTATCTATAGGCATATTTTGCATATTTTTTTTATAATATGAATAAATAGTGCTTTTTCATTCTTTAGAAACAGGAGGTAAATATTTAACTCTACCTGTATCATTTAATCTAGAATTAAATGGTGTTAATTTAAACTTATTGTTTAAATTAGTACGAAAAATTTTAGCGTTTGTATTTAGAGCTTTTGCTTTCATAAAAATAAATTTGATTCTCTTTTTATCTTTTTTTTATAAGTGTATGGTAATAAAAATGTTGGGTGTTAAAAAGGATTATTGTTAGCATAACTCACCTTATAGTCGTTGAACGATTTTATCTTAAATAATTATGCCAAGATAAATTTCGCTTCAAATCTACTTAAATAAGTAATTCTTGAAATTAACCCAATATATTATCAATAATTTCTGGCTACGAAGACTTCGTACTTCGTACTTCGTACTTCGTACGCAGCCCTAAAAATATTGAAGGACAAACATCCCTAGCGTAGCTTTTCCAATAATCCAAGATCTTTCCTTTTTGCATCTTGTGATCCTATGCCCTGCTTACGCAACTGTAAGATTTGTTGTTAATCAAACAGTAAGGCACGAATAAGCCGTTGAGCTTTTCAGGTATTTATCATTTTTATTAAAAGAAGCTTGGCGGCTTCGCAGCCGCAGCCACCTCTTAATAACTCAAAAATAGTAGAAAAATTTCATACTATTTTTTTTCTACCGCTACTCCCACTATAGTGAAAATCGTACCTAAATATCCATCCCTATCTACAACCAGGGTAGATAAAGAGAATTTTATAAGATTAAATATAGTAAAACTACATAAAATCACAAACAACGTTATAGCCGAACTGAACTCGCGCAGCTCCGCGCGGCTCCGCCTATAACAAATAATTTTTAGACACTCCCTTTTACTCTTTAAGGGGCCTGTGCCCCACATAAACTGTCTCCTAACAATATATTCCTTACCTAAGGCCACTTTTAAGTCAGATTCGGTTAATTCTTTCTTTCCTCTAGTTTGGGCAGCACGGCATACGCCACGTTGCATACACAGCACGGCATACGCAACGTTGCTTACACAGCACGGCATACACCACGTTGCTTACACAGGGAGGAGCCAAAAAATTACTTCTGAAGTATGAAGTAAAAATAAAGGATTTTCATTTTTATTGAATCAATGTACCTTATAATCTGAAAATTAATCCATCATACCCTATAATTAGTAACAGTAAAGCTGCATAGGGTCTTCTCGTCTAACTAGAGGTAAACTGTATCTGCACAGTTATTCCAATTTCACTGAGTCAATCATAGAGACAGCTGTTGTATCGTTACATCATTCATGCAAGACCGCATTTAACGGCCAAGGCATTTCGCTACCTTAGGACCCTCACGTTAAGGCCGCCATTAACCGGGGGTTCCTTCAACACCAAACTTTTTGAGAATTTAGTTAAATTCGTTAACCAGCCGGCATCGGGCAGACATCACACTCAATACTTCGATTTTTAATCTTTTAGCAAAGTGCTGTGTTTTAATTAAACAGTCGTACAACACTATTTTATGCTTCTTCCTTTTTACCCGATATTAATCAGGACTAATGAGCTCTCCTTATCCCGAAGTTACGGTAGTTAGTTTGCCGAGTTCCTTTATGATTGTTAGCTCATTTACGCCTTCGTATTCTCTACTAGCTTACTTGTTTTAGTTTCTAGGTACGGTTATTTTTTCATCTTAATAGCGACTTCGTTGCCGAAGCGCAATAAGATATATTACTATTTTTTCCAGCACACTTATCACTTGTAAATGTTGTCATTTAGTAAAAAAGATTTTCTCATCGTTTAAACCTTTAGATTTAGAACTTAGAGGCCGTTACTTTAAGGGGATTACCCATCCATAAGCTTTAGGCGGAGGATTTGAAAAGGCCGGTGACAAGTTTTTACCTTATTGCCTTTCTCTTCGTATCCTTCTTATTCGTTACTCATGTCACCATTCTCACTTGAATTGTTTGTTATATATTTCTTCACAGAAGAAATATCTTAATTTCATTCAACGTTCTGCTACCCCACAAAATTACAATAATATATAGTGTAAAATATGGACAAGGTGTCGGTATATTGTTTAGATCCGTTAAATTTTCGATGCTTTTAAAACTTAACAAGCGCTCTGTTACGAAATCTTCAAAAATTGGCTGCTTCTAAGCCTATCTCCTTGTCGACTTTAATAAAAACTTTCTTAATTTCACTTAACTAATAATTTTGGAACCTTAACTCTTGTTCTGGGCTGTTTCCCTTTTGACATACAACCTTATCATTCTATGTCTGATAACTCAAGATCCATCTTTGCCATTCCGAGTCTACATACTCACCGATAGAATCTCCACGATCCCCCGATATATACAAATCAACATGTTGTTTTAGTTTAAACTAAAATGAAAACATCTTGTCTGAGATTAAATTCTGTACCTGCTAAGATGTACTCAAATTGCCTACTGTTATAGGTTTCGCAGAAAACCAGCTATCCTAGTCAGTGTTGTCTTTCACTACCTACCACAATTCTTCGGATATCTTTACAACGATAACCCGTTCGGACTTTTATAATCCTGATTGTGGTAAAATCACCAGGCTTCGGGTCTAACTTTAGACACTATTCGTTATTTTAACGATTGGTTTATCTACGCTTTCACTCGCATCTAATGTTAACTTGGTGACCCATTATGCAAAAGGTACGTTCTCACTTATTTATTTTGCTCGAACTGCTTATAAAACTACTAATTCTAATCGTTCTCTCATGATACTATTCACTATCGCTTATGTATTATATTTAGCCTTTGAGGAAGGTTCCCCGAGACCGACCCAAGGTCGGCTATAAATTCAAACAGTTTCTAAACCATTTTACTTATTAATATATAGGCTTTTCTACTTTCACTCACGCTAATCGTAGAATCTCTTTTGATTTCTTTTCCTGAAGTTACTAAGATATTTCAATTCACTTCGTTTATTATAAAACTTCTCTTAGGGTTTATATTTAAAATAAGTTTTTGGCGCCGAAAAAGAATTTATACTAGAGCTCTCCGGACTTCGCAGCCAGGAAGGAGCCTTAATAGAAATTATTTTTTACACTAAATTCTTAATTTGACTAAATAAATCATACCCTTTAATACATAGCCAGATTTCCATAATAGTTTCTTTGTATACTTATATATTTTCATATAAATATATGTTCTATATCAATTACATTTCTATTCATTCCATATCAGATTATTGCGGTTCGAACGCAACTATTCTCCTTCCCAAAAGGAGCGCCTAACCAACCCGGCCCTAATCTGTACAAGGTAAATTTGTGTCGGCAATGGTTACATTATAGCAACCTGTATTTATGATACTAGGTTATTTGACGGCTGCGTACGAAGTACGAAGACTTCGTAACCCGGACTTCGTAGCCGTGATCACAAAACAGAGAATATGGGATTCGAACCCATGATGGGAGAGTCCCATACCAGAACTCAAGGCCGGCACTTTAAACCACTCAGTCAATTCTCTTTTTTACGTTCTAGGCGTAAGCTCAGCTTTGCTAGAACTAACTTGTTTACCTTTTAATTCTTCCAAGAATCGAACTTGAATTTCATTCTTATCAAAAATGCACTTTACCGTTAAGTTAAAGAATTTTGTGGGCGGCTTCGCCCTCATCAGGTTTTATCTAGAATGGGCGCTGATCCCCAGAAGGATATGGAGGTGCGCCCGAACCCGGTACGTTGCCCCTCAGACTAGAACTAGATTCACTAGTATGATCATAATAACAATAAGTAATCCTTCCCCATTTTACTAGTACTAGATTATTCTCTTTTACTATATTGTTATCATGACAAGAGTACTCAGATTCGAACTAAGAATTTGAAGGTTGAAGCTTCTTGTTTTACCATTAAACTATACTCTTTTTAAGGAATAAGTGACTCGAACACTTAACCTACCGTGTGTAAAACGGTTGCTCTACCATTGAGCTAATCCCTTTGTTTTTTTGTTTTATTGTAATTACAATTGCTCCTATCATAGCTAATAATAAAATAAAACTTGTTAATATTAGTCACATACTATGACTTGTATATAATATATTCCCTATACTAGATATATGACTTGTTTCGATTAAATTACCATCTCAACTACTGCTTGTAGCAAAAAATAGATCAGAACTTCCCTCTTTAGCTACATTTGATATTTGAGAGTTCGAGCCAAAACTATTGAATATTTTATTATAGTCAGAAATACCATTGAATGAAGTATGATATAATACATTATTTAAGGCGGAGCTGTGGTTTGAATTATTTAAAATAGCTAAATCATATGGTAAAAATTGGAAAATTAAATAATTAAATAAAATTGTTATAAATAAAGCTAAAGGTATACTATTTTTAGTATTACTTTGTAACTCACTAACTCTAATATTAATTAACATTAAAATAAACAGAAATAATATAGAGACAGCACCGACATAGACAATTAAATAAGATAAACCTATAAAATTTAAACCTAATAATATTAAGTAAGAAGATACCATTCCAAATAATCCTATTAAAAATAAAACAGAAACTATAGGGTTTTTACTGACAATTGTCAGAATGGCACATAATATGGCCAATATGGAAACAATATCCAAAGCACTAGTTTTAAATCCACTAGTATATATTTCATCTATGATAAATAAATTAGTCATATTGTACAGAATTATTTTACCCTTTAGTAGGGAAGGAGTTATAACAAGAATAAATCTTGAAAACTAAGTAATTCTGTAACGGAAAGAAGGCGACTCGAACACCCAAATGTTTTCACATAATATTTAGCAAATATCTTGCCCTACCTATGGCGACCTTTCCTTACCCCCGACTACGACTACGTCGGGACAAAAGCACAAATCTGATGAATAGCATACTTTAATAGTAATCGAACTAAGTCGGCATCGAACCGACATCCCTTTTCGTGACAGGAAAAGTCTTTACCAATTAAGCTATTAGTTCAACTATTTACGGTTAGTTGGAATCGAACCAACACACTCTGTTTGGAAGACAGCAATCCTACCATTAAATGATAACCGTTTTAATACTTCGTAGCAAGCTCGCAAGCTCGCAAGCTACTTCTGCCTGCCGTAGGATGGATGCACACATGCCTAAATTAGCTTATTAGTAATTTATTCTTTATAATAAATATTTACATAGTAGTAAACAAGTAGGATCTATTGGATTCGAACCAATATCATAATGATTAAAAGTCATATGTATTCACCATTATACTAAAATCCCTAACGCTACGCTCCTCCTGCCTGCCGTAGGATGGATGGATGGCGCACTCCACCAATACTAATACTCTACTTCTAGTACTAATAATCTACTTCTAACCCTAGTTGCCTCGTACGAGGCTATAGCTACTCACAAAGTAGCCTGCAAAAAAAAATGTAAATAAAATTAGAATTTAGATGACTTATTTCTTTGGCTTAATACGTCTTGATACTTCATCGGATTGCTCCGAAAGATTTCTTTTATGCATAGTAAGATTAGAAAGCTGGTTAGTAATCGATTGTACGTCTTTGTCTTTTTCAGAAGGGACTATCTCAGGATATGATTTGATTAGAGAGTTAATATTTTCTTGTATGGATCTTTGATACCTCTTCATCCCTCTCTTTAGATTTTTTATTTGAGTAGTAGCTTCATTTGAGTCCATTTCAGTGTTATTTTTAATTTTTTCGATCTGCTCCAGATATCGAGATATCTCTCTATCTCTCATTTCGATAAAGTTTAACTTAACTTGGTCAGCTCCCGTTACTTTAGATTTTAATAATTGAATAATTTCTTGTCTAAATGAAGGAAGAGATACGAACTTCTTGCTAAATTTATGCTCTCGTCTAGAAAAAGTATCATCTCCTGTGTTAGTAATACCTGAACTACCTCCAGTTGTACTAATAGTACCTGATGATGATGCACCTCCAGCTGAGCTGATAGTACCATCAGGCCCACCCATAGTCATAAGATTTGAAGAACCACCCATAGTCATATGATTTGAACAACTTTCTTCTACTATACCCTTAATCCCTAATCTCGCGGCTAAGCCTATAGTCCCTGTAATAAAATATTCAGCGTACTCAGTATTATCTAATGCAATAAAATTAAGTAAAAAAAGAACAATACCGGAGTATTTTATTAAACCAACTAAAATAAGGACAAATAAACCTACAATTATATTTACCCAAGTAAAATGCTTTGCAATTAAAGAAAAAATTTTCATCATATTTATTTTCATCATATTTTTCATCATAGTTTTTTTCATCATAGTTTTTACCTTACGATCCTCAATAATAAATTGATACATAAAGAAAAAGTCATACAACATCGACAAAATGTCAGTATAAAATTCCACCTTCAAATCCTAAGTGATGATTATCTGTTAAATGGTAAGCATATATTCTTCATAACCCTACTCCGATAAATATTGTACCAATTATAACGTGAAATCCGTGAAATCCTGTACCAAAGTAGAAACATGAACCAAATGCACCATCACTAATTGTGAAAGATGACACTGAATATTCTACACCTTGGAAAGCAGTAAACACTATAGCTAATACTACTGTAGCGATTGCACCGTATATAGCTCCAGCTCTGTCTCCTTGAATTAAAGCGTGATGACTGTAAGTCACAGTAGCTCCACTAGATAATAATATAATTGTATTAAGTAATGGTAATTCAAAAGGATTTATAGGGTCTATACCCATAGGTGGTCATTGTGCACCTAATTCAACTGTAGGTGTTAAAGCGCTATGGAAAAATGCTCAGAATATAGCAACAAAGAACATTAATTCAGATACTATAAAAAGTATTACACCTAAATTAAGTCCTTTTTGTACAGCTAAAGTATGATTACCCAAGAATGTACCTTCTGCTATTATATCTCTAAATCATAAAGTCATAGAACTTACAACTAAAAATAAACCTATGTAAGTAAATACATAAGCGTTAGCAAAATTATGCATTGCTAGTGCTGAATTTAAAGTTAAAGATAATAAACTCAGACTAGTATAAAGTGGTCAAGGAGATGGAGAAACTAAATGAAAAGGATGATCTTGAAAATTACTTCTTGTTAAATTTAACATATACATTTTTTGAACTACTGAACAGCTAGGCGTATAGAATTACCCTTTTTGATCATCGAGCCCTTAAGAGGAATCGAACCTCTATCATAATATTAACAGTATTATGCTCTACCGTTGAGCTATAAAGGCGAACTTAGGAGACAAGAGATTCGAACTCTTAAAGCAGAAAATTGCTATTGAGTTTACAGCTCAACCCTTCTTGCCAATAAAGGAACTCTCCTTATAACAATATAACCCAAGATTCTACCTTTGATAAAACCAAAGGTATTACCTCTTAGATCTAACCTTTTAGAACGACTTATATTGCTATCCTTTTTAAGTTTAATAACCCCGTGCAACTTCCGCTACACGAACCATATTTCGACTTAACACTAATCAGAATAACGCATACGAAGAATCCCATTATAATATAATAATCCAATTTATAAAAGAGATTATAACAGAAGAGCAAACTTATTGCGTAAACTCCTTTCAGCATGCGACGAGTGGTTAGTACCAATCCGAGATGAAATTCACCGTGACATGGTGATTCACGATTACTAGTAATTACTTATTCATATAGTCGAGTTTCAGACTACAATCCTTGTATAATTTATATCCTTTTTTTTGAGATTAGCTAAAATTCGCATTTTCGCATCTCTTTGTTAAGGACTACGTGGCACGTCTATAGCCCATAACATAAGGGCCATGATGACTTGTCTTATTCCTTCTTATCTTTTCCGCTATAAAGAAAGATTGCTTTATAAAATATTCTATAAATAAAGCAAAGGATTCCGTTAATTCCATGGCAAAACCACAGTTTCACAACATTAACTGTAAACAGCCGTGCAACTCCTGTATCTAGGAACTAGATATTCAAGTTATGGTAAGGTTTTTCGTGGATCATCGAATTAAATAACATACTTCACTACTGGTGTCAGAAACGGCCTAGTGATTTCAGTTCCTGCGTTGCCACATTACTCTTGAGGTGAAATGCTTTCATTTTCATTTATAGACTAAGTTTAGGGTTTAAGACATTTTCATATATAGACTATATTCCGATGTCTAGTACCTTGCCTTACATGTAAGGCTGAATTTTACCTCTACTCCTCAGTTTCTTCTAAAGACTAAATTTTATCTTTACTCTTTAGCTTCTTCTAAATCCGAAATTTTGTGCCTACGAAGTAGGCACTCATTTACACATAAAAATAAAATTCCATACCTAGTCCATGGCATTCATCATTGTCTGCAAAGACTACTAGGGTGTCAAATCCTGTTTGTTCTCTATGCCTTCGTCCTCCAACGTCAGTTATTACATAAAAGACAGCCTTCGCCTTTATCAGTCCTTTTGGTATCACAGAATATAATCTCTCCACCTCAAGTACGGTCTTCTCACATATAACTCTAGTCAAGTACTCCTTTGAATTAAGGTATTTTGACCGTCTGGGTACCCTTTAAACCTATTTAATATGAATAATGCTCGTCTCTTACGTATTACCGCGACTGCTGGCACGTAATTAGTCAAGACTAGTATACATATTATCATTATTAATACGTACTTAAAACTTTATTTTAGTAGTTACAATTCTATTTCGTTTACCCAAATTGCCAGTTCAGCCGTTAGGCCATTGACCAAAATTCCCCACTGCTGTACCTATTTTGCATTGGGCTTTTTTCAGACCCAATGTGACCGATCAACCTTTCAGTTACGGTTACGAGATTTTAAGGCTAGTGAAGACATTACCTTTACTACTACCTCTCTCGACGATATTAATCTTCATCCTAAAGCGGCTTTATAAGCCTTTATTATTATGTGGGATTTTATCCCTCACTTTAAGGTAGTGAAAATATCATATACTCACCTGTACACCACTTATTAATTAAATTCTTCATTAAATTAATCGTTCGATTAGCATGTGTCAAGCATTTGGACAGCATTCATTCAGAGCCATCACCAAACTCATCTATATAATTATTTTGATGTCTAAAATATCATCTGACATGATATCAAATACATCACTAATCCATCTAAACTTTTTAGGATAAGATTACGCTCCTTTTATTATAGATGTAAAGTACAAATTACTTTGTTGAAATACAGAATTAACAATATATTTAGTACTTACCATTCCCGACCTAAATTTGAAATATTACACTTATATAAGGACTGTTTTGGTATGCACTTAAGGTTTTTGTGATTAACAAATAAACCTATATCATATTAAATATGATACCAAGTACATAAACATCTAATATCATCTCAAAAAATTTATAAAAATCGGCTTAATTGTCCGTTTAAACTAAGATCATAAAGATCACTTTTTCTTAAAATTAACTTATTGGTGCTATAATTTTGATTCATTTATTTTTTATACATTCCACCAATTTGAATTTATTGTTTAATGAATTAAAACTACTTGTTTACCTCTATTTTAAATAGAATTAGTAACAAGAAAACTAGATAGAAGGTTAAATTTTAAATATTTTCTATACAAATGACCATTATTTTTATATTGATAATTGTTAATTATCTATTTTCTAACGAATAACTAGGAGAACTTTCATTTTTTATCACTAAATATATCCATAATACTAAGATTTTTATTCTAGATTAAGCAATATAAGGGTATATAGGACTTGAACCTATAGCTAAGCGGCCGTAATGCTCTTCTTTACCTTTAAGATAATACCCTCTACAAAAAACAATATAAATTTTATGAGTGTTTTGTTTAATATAAGTTAGCTGTAAACTACTAACTTTGTTCCTTAATGTAAGTCTAATCCATCTTTTACATAACCGCTTGTTAAAACTACAAACACTTGAGCTTGTATAAATGCAATACCTAATTCTAAACCAGAAAAAGCTATTATAAATGCTAAAGGTACTAATCCTAAGAAGAAGAATATAAATCCAGAAGTCATAATATTGTAAGTAAATCCTGCCAATATATGTAATAACATATGACCTGATAATATATTCGCGGCTAATCTAAGCCCTAAAGAAATATTTCTAGCTAAGTATGAAATAAATTCTATTAATACCAATAAAGGTAATAAAGCTAAAGGACAACCAGCTGGTACTAATAAAGAAAAGAATTTTAAACCATGTTTTTGGAATCCTAGGATAGTTGCACCTAAAACAATAGTAAAACTAAGAGCGAATGTTAAAACGAAATGACTAGTTGATGCAAAACTGTAAGGAACCATTCCTATTAAATTATTTATTAATATAAATATAAATAAAGTGTAAATAAATGGGAAGTAAACTTGACCACTTCTTGCATTTATTTGATTTACTACTATACCGTGTATAGTTGCGTATAACGATTCTTGGCTTATTGATCAGTTATTACTAACTAATTTGTTATTGTTTATACTTAATATACTTAAAATTAATGTGAAAACTAATCCAATTGTTAAGTATAATCCTATATTAGTTATAGATATATGTAAATCGCTTAATATAGGTAAATCTATACTTAATAAATCTCTTATTTCAAATTGAGTTAAAGGACTTGAAATTTCTTTATATAAATTGTTTAAACTTAAAGTATTCATAGTATACTCTAAGCTTTTTCGATCGACCTCGAATAATCTAAATATCTCTATTTTATTATAACGCAAATTTGTCTAACAAATTTGATATAAAAAGACGAGCTACAAATAGATTAACTATTCTTGGTAACACATATTTCGAAAAGACGTAAGTAAGTACTACAATTATAGCAAAAGCAAAAGTTACTTCGTTAATAAAATAAAAAGGTACTAATTGAGGCATTTTTGTTTAATATTTATTATTTCAATACCGTGAAGTTAGGTGGAGGAATTTAACCGTCGACCCAGGGTATTGGAGTCTAATATTAAACAGATTACCTGTTATATGACTTGGTAATGTTTATATTAAAATTAGTGTATCTATTTTTATATTTTTCATGTAAATAATAGATAGAAGATAAAAAAATAAATAGATTATATCTTCCGCCAGCGGTTTTACCAGTCGGCCACGAATGAAAATAAACTATAGAAAAGGCTAATCACCCCCATCTGCATCTTGAATATCAGGCATTTCTGTTGCTTGTTTTTCTAATACATAATCTAAAGGTGATTGTTTACCATCTCATTTTTTCGTCGGATTTTCATCTGAATCAGATGATAACGGACGTTTATTATTTTCATTTAAGTGACTTTCGTCATGCTCTCTGTGATGTGAATTTTCTGAACCATTCTGGTCATTATTTTCAGATTCAGTGCCTTGAGAATTTTCTGAACCATTCTGGTCATTATTTTCATATTCACTGCTTTGAGAATTTTCTGAACCATTCTGGTCATTATATTCATATTCACTCTCTTGAGAATCTTCTGATCCTCCAGAAGTTTCTCAAGCGTTACTTGGAGCATCACGAACATGACATCCTGGACTACCTGCTATAGATTGAGTTTTAAAATCCTCAGATCCATATCTAGCCTCACCTCCACCCATAGCCGAGTCGTTTGACTCGATGGATCTCGCACGGTTAAATCCTTCCTCAGCTGCAGCTTGAAAGGGTCTACTATCTACAAAACTACTGTGTCATCTAGCTTGCCCAGGTAACACATAGGCTTGCTTTTCATCGCTAAACATTTTAAACTGAACTTCTTTATCTACACGATTTCCTAAACTTTCCGAAGAATGTTCAGGATATTTTTCTTCTATTTCTTTTTTAACCCTCTCACTTAATTTAGAAGCTTCTTCTTCAGCTATGTTAGATGCATTACGATCATGTTTAGCACAAAAAACCATATACTTATTCATAGACTCCTGGGCACTATCAGCAGGTAAATCAAACACAGCATCATTAGGAGTAGGCTTTTTAAATTTAGGAATATTGTTTGTATATTCGTCATAGATAGTTCTATGTATATCCTCTTTAACATTTTCAGGTAACTTATCTTCTGGAAGATAAAGATTTTGAGTAGTAGAAAATAAAACAGTTTTATTAGAAAAATCTACTAGCATTTTCTTTTTAAATTTATGTAAATTGTTTAAACTTAAAGTATTCATAGTATACTCTAAGCTTTTTCGATCGACCTCGAATAATCTAAATATCTCGATTTTATTATAATCCCAATTTATTTAATAGTGTTTAAACTAATCATGTCTAATATCAATATAAAACATATAACAGCCTATATAGTAGTTAGTAGCCTTATGTAGTTAAGTAGCATGACGAAACATCATGAAAAAGAAATACTATGCATAACTTATTATTAATAAGTTATCTACAAAAAAAAGTTAACAAAATAGATTGTGAAAAACTTCAGTAATATTGTCTAGAACTCCTCCGCCTAGTAATAATAAACCAAGTAATACATCAATTATTTTACTAGAACTTGTTGAAGATGATTCAGGACCAGGACCATTAGACTCAGGACCATTGCCTGAAGAATTTGGACCTGCACCACCTGGCCCTCTACCGTTGTTATCATTATTAGAATCTCATAGACGTTGACGTTTAGCCTCAGGTGAGTCAGAGTTTGAATCATTTTCTTCGCTATGTGCTCTTTTACCTAATACTTGTTCTGCTTGTCTAACCATTTCATCTAACTCCTGCGCTTCTTTTTCTTCTTCATCTTCAACTCTACCGTAATCATATTCTTCTTCTAAATAATTCTCTATTTGACGTAATGCTTCTTCATCTGTATTATTATCAAAAAAGGCAGAATACTCAGACTTAACCTTATCTAAAGAATCCTGATCACCATTTTTGGCTTTAACTACCTCATCTCAGCTATCCATGATATCTTCGGCACGATGGGGATTATCTCTTAGATAAACTTCTTTATCTTCAGGATCTTCATTGATAGGTTCCACTGGATCCTCTCGATTCTCATCCGACGGATAAGCAGAATCTTCGCTCTCAGAATGATTCGATCCGTTATCATCATCATGATCACCATCATCATCTTGTCCATTAATTAACAATAAAGATGGAAACAATAAATTACTATGCATTATATTACGAATAGCCATGAAAATTATATCTAAATAAATAGTTATAAACTGAGAAAAGGAATAACAACTACATAGGCTGCGAAATTTTCTTAAAAAAAGGACTAATAATTTGAATAAATTTCTATAGAAATTTCTAAGAACTGAGTAAAATATTCTTTTAATAGAATAAACACAAGATTTATTAGCTAATTGGTTTTTTTTATTAGCAATTAAATAACAAAGTAGTAATAGATAAGTGTATAACATAATATAATAATATTATGTTGCGATCGACCTCGAATAATCTAAAAATCTATGATTTTTTTATATAGTAATATTTATGACAAAGATATCAAATACATATAAAGTACAAGGTAACAATATAATTAAACCAAATAATAAAGGTAATAATACTGTTCAACAAAATGACATTAATTGGTCAAAACGTATTCTAGGGAATGAAGCTCTAACTCATATAAAAATGAAAACTAAAAGGGAACTTTTAGCACCTAAAATAAGACTAGAAAATAAACCACTTTCAGCAAAAGCACTTACCATAATTTTTAAGTTATTATATTCAGCAGATAGCACTCAATCTATATCGAATATATAAGCTCCTAAATTATTTATTCAATTAAATCAGTATAATAAATTAAATCCTAATAAGTAACCCCCTAAAAATAATATACTTGTTAATATACACATTAATAAAATACTTCCATATTCAGCTAAGAAGAAGAATACAAATACAACTGCAGCATGTTCTGTCATAAACCCACTAACTAATTCAGATTCCGCTTCAGCTAAATCAAATGGAGCTCTATTAGTTTCTGCTACAGAACCTATAAAGAATATTAAGAAAATAGGGAATATAGGTAATACAAGTCATACCGCTTTTTGAGCTTGTATGTTTATATTTAAATTAAGACTACTAGTAATCATGATAACTAAAAGTATAGCTGAACTTAAAACTAATTCATAGCTAATTAATTGAGCTGTACTTCTAAGAGATCCTAAAAAAGCATATTTACTATTAGCACTTCATCCCGCTAATAAAATACCATAAGTGGCTATAGATGAAACCGCTACCATATAGAATATACCTAATTCTAAATCATTTAAAGTTAAACCTGGTCCATATGGTATTACTCCATAACCTAATAGGGCAAAAGCTAAAGTAACTACAGGACCTAAAAAGAATAATATAGTATTAGCTTGTGTAGGTGCAACATATTCTTTTAAGATTAATTTTAAAGCATCAGCAAAAGCTTGTAATAAACCATAATATCCTACAGCATTTGGTCCTAATCTTCTTTGCATACTTGCCATAGTTTTTCTTTCGGCAACTGTCACATAAGCTACTGCTAATAAAGCAGGTAACATTAATAAAACTACCTCTAATATAGATAAAAGAGTTGAAGTATAATACATATTTATAAAAATAAAAGTTTTTGTGTTATAAATACTTAATAATAGAATTAAACAGCGATTCTATTAAAGTACCATAGAAATAAAAAACCAGCAAAAACAATGTCCCTACGACTAGGTGTAACAATGGCAATTACAAAATCTTGTAATTGCTATCTCATTTCAGATTCGAACTAAAATTAGAATATTAGAAGTATTCTGCTCTACCATTGAGCTAATGAGACTTTTCTTGTGCCAAGAAAGGAATAAAGATATTAAGAGCTTACGTCGGTTTCACCGTGAAGCATAAATCTGAAGCTTACACCTAAATTGTTTTACTTCTCTCTTTTTACTCCTTTACCTTTTTTATCTTGATTAGATTCCGATTCTGAATCGGATTCATTGATAATAGATTCACATTCTGCTATTTTTTCTAACAATTTAGCTTTTTGTTCTCTAGCAGCCGGAACATTTTGTCCTGAAGTTTCATATTCTTCATACATTTCCATATACTTACTAAGATTAGCTACTGCTGTCTCCTTATCCATTTTAATAACCGTATGGCTCGGAACTCATGGTTTTAGAGTTTTTTTTGGACGAGTGTCATCTTCATTATCCGAATCGAAAGTATAATCTTCAAAAGTAATACGACCTCTTTTCGTGGGGGCTCCCCCCGCAGCTGGAGCGTCTTTAGAAGAACCTTCTCCGTTGTCCCTAGGACTATCCTTAGAACTATCATCTCTACTTACATCTTTAGATGAACCTTCTCCATTATCTGAATTTTTTAATAAAGGTCTGTTAAAAGGATCCGAATGAAAAGAATCTTTTGTTAAGGATATTTTGGACTCACTCTCTAAATACTCGAATAGTGTAAACATCAATGCTCTTATAAAGAAGCCTAATACACTTCCAATAAGTAATATAGGAGTAGTAATGTCTTTAAACATTGAAAAGTAATAATCTTTAACTAAAAAAACCAATAGTAAACTAATAAATAGTTTCGTTAATGTTTTAAGATTTATATGTTTTTTTAATAAATTAGAGAAAACGAAAACAAAACCGACTTTGTAAAGGTAAACTTACAAAAGCATGAGGTTTAGGAGGGCTACTTAATGCTCATTCTAAGCTAGGATAACTTCTATTTAAAAGAGCTTGTAAAGTATCAGTGTAATATTGTACAGAAGATCATGGATTTCTGCTGGCAACTTTACCTTCAACTAATTGTTTGTATACTATGTATAAGAATAATCATGCAGCTACTACGCTTATAATAGATCCAAAACTACTAATTAAATTTCATCCTGCAAAAGCGTCAGGGTAATCGCTAATACGTCTAGGCATACCTTGTAATCCTAAGAAATGTTGTGGGAAGAATGTTAAATTAACCCCTATAAATAAAACTCAGAATTGTATTTTGGCTAATACGATATTATAGTTTAAACCTAATATTTTAGGTATTCAGTAATATCAACCACTAAACATGGCAAAAACTGCACCCATACTTAAAACATAGTGGAAATGAGCTACAACGTAGTAAGTATCGTGGAATGCAATATCAAGTGAAGCATTTGCTAAAACAACCCCACTTAATCCTCCTATTGTAAACATAAATACAAATCCTAATGCAAATAACATAGAAGGAGTTAATTTTATAGATCCTCCGTAGGATGTAGCTAATCATGAGAATATTTTAATTCCAGTAGGAACTGCAATAATTAATGTAGCAGCTGTAAAGTACGCTCTAGTATCAACGTCTAAACCTACTGTATACATATGATGAGATCAAACTATGAATCCTAATATACCAATAGACATCATAGCATAAACCATTCCTATATATCCAAAAATACTTTTATTAGAGCTAGCAGAAATAGTTGTACTTATTATACCAAAACCAGGTATAATTAATATATAAACCTCTGGGTGACCGAAGAATCAGAAAAGATGTTGATATAATATAGGATCACCTCCACCGGCTGTTTCAAAGAATGATGTATTAAAGTTTCTATCTGTTAATACCATTGTAATACCCCCAGCTAACACAGGTAAAGATAATAATAATAAGACTGCTGTTATAACAACAGCTCATCCGAATAAAGCTAATTTATGTAATTTTATACCTGGTGTTCTCATATTTACTACAGTAGTAATAAAATTAACGGCACCTAATAAACTACTTACCCCTGATAAATGTAAAGCAAATATAGCTAAATCTACACTAGGACCACTATGACTTTGTAATCCTGATAAAGGAGGATATAATGTTCACCCTGTTCCAACTCCACCTTCTATACATGCAGAGAATACTAATAGTATTAAACTAGGTGGTAATAGTCAAAAACTTATGTTATTTAATCTTGGAAAGGCCATATCCGGTCCACCTACCATTAAAGGCATTAAGAAGTTACCAAAACCTCCAATTAAGGCTGGCATAACCATAAAGAATATCATAAGAATAGCATGAGCTGTAATTATACTATTATATAATTGGTTATCTGAAATATATTGAACTCCTGGTCCACTTAACTCTAATCTTATTAATACAGAGAAAGCTGTACCTAATAATCCTGAAAATAAAGCAAAAATTAAATATAAAGTCCCAATATCTTTAGCGTTTGTAGATAAAAATCATCTTTCGGCATTCATAGATATTGAAGACGTTAATTTTTGTTTATCATTATCTTCAAACAAAATGTGTAACACTAATTGATTCGCTTCCTGCTACGCAGAGAATTACAATTAGTGCTGCGAATTACTTGAAGTTTATCCTTTAAAGATAAATCTTTAAATATAAAATAGTAATAAGTACTAAAAGATCGACATGTAGCGACTTATTTGTATTCAATACATATTTTATTATGCGATCTCTTGTCTTTTTATCTTTGCGAATGGTATAGTCTAATATTTGTAAATTCTTAAAATTCCACTCGTCAGAGTTTCACCGTAAGCTTAAAGATCTAACCTTAATCGCTTAATTAAACTGAGATTGCTCACTAGAATCTTTATATACTAACTACTATTACATTAGAATATATATTACTAAGATTAAAGAAATGCCTTCTCAAGTTAAAAAACAACTTTTTTATATTCCGATTAGTACTGATAAATTAGGTCCTAAACTTGAGAGTTCTATAGATAATAATGTTTTTATTACTATTAATGATAATATTATATGATCTTATGATAGAATTATTAAGCTTATTCATAAAAAAAATAGTATGATTTTTGACCCTAATACTGAATTTTATTTAAGAAATATTTCTAATCCTAATTATATTATGGCTGTTTTAAAGAAGAATAATGATATTATTAAGTGTTGTTTTGACTTATTAGGGAATTTGATTCAAGAAGTAATTGATACTAAAATGGAAGATGGTACTATTTACAGACATTCAAATAATGCTGTTATTAAATTAGATTCACAAGGTATGATGTACTTTTATCAAAAAAATATTGTAACTAAACCTATACAATATGTGGCTAAAAAAGAAAAATCTTTTTTAGAAGATCAAAATATAGGAGTTTTAGATTTAGAAGTTTATAACCATTCTGTTGATAACATATCTTATGTATATTCTGGTGGAATATATACTAATATTGATAAAAATCCTAAATTATTTTATTTAGACCCTATTACTAGAAATAGTGATGAATTAATATTATCTATTATTGATCATATGGGGAAAAAAAGATATCAAGGTTTTAAGTTTTATTGTCATAATTTAGGTAAATATGATATATACTTTATCTTAAAAGTACTTACTAACTTTAATAAAATTAATAAAGTTGTTCAGTATAAAATTGATACTGTTATGAGAGATAATGTTATTTTAAGCATTAAAATTAAAAAAGTTGTTAATGGTAAAACTGATTATATTGTAAATATATCAGATAGTTATCCTATTTTAACTAGATCTTTAGCTCAATTAGGTAAAGATTTTGAAGTTGACCAAGTAAAATCTTTTTTTCCTTATAATTTTGCTAATGAAAATACACTTTTTTATTGTGGTAATAAACCTGAAAAATCCTTTTATGAAAATTTATCTGATGAGGATTATAATAATATTAAAATTAATCCTTGGAACTTTAAAAAAGAATCTGAAAAGTATTTATCAATTGATTTAATTAGTTTATTACAAATTATTAAAAAAGCTAATCAAGAAGTTTTTCTTAATTTTGGTATAAATATTAGCGATGTTAATACAATATCTGGTTTAGCTAAGTTAATATTTATGAAAAACCATTATAAAAATAATATTCCTTTAATAAATGATAATAAAATTTATCAAGACATTAAAAAGAGTTATTATGGTGGAATTACAGAAGTCTATAAACCTACAGGTAATAATCTATATTATTACGATGTTAATAGTTTATATCCTTATGTAGCTCTGTTTGATATGCCTGGTACTAAATTAACATCTTATGTTAAGTATACTAAAGATGATGCTTATAATTTACACGATCTATTTGGTTTTTTTAAATGTGAAGTTTATAAAGATCCTAATAATGAATATATTGGTTTATTACCTTTTAGAACTAAAGATGGTACTTTAATACATCCTTTAGGAAATTGAACTGGATGATACTTTAGTGAAGAAATTAAATTTGCTGTAAAGAACGGATATAAAATTAGAATAATAGAAGGATATAATTTTTCTAGAGAGACTAATGTATTTAATACTTTTGTACAAGAAATATATAAAATAAAATCTACTACGTCAAACAAAGCGTTAAAAAGTATTAGTAAATTAATATTAAATAGTTTATTAGGTCGTTTTGGATTAAAATTAGATAAAACTATCACTGAATTTATAACTAATGATGAAAAATATCAAATATTATCAGCTACTAGAGCTATTGTTTCTGAAATAGAGGTAGACGATTCTCATAAATTTATTACTTATAAAAAAGGAATAGATTTTGATCTTATCGATTCTTTAAATATAGATGTTAATAAACTTAACATAAAATATAATGATTTAGAAAAAGATGACGCGAAAGAAGGTAACCCTAAAGACGTTTCAGTGGCAATTAGTTCAGCTATTACAGCATACGCTAGAATATACATTTCTAAAATTAAATTAGATATACTTAAAAAAGGTGGTAACCTATATTACTCTGATACGGATAGTATAATAACTGATATCCCTTTAGATAATTCTATTGTAGACAATAAAGAAATAGGTAAATTAAAGTTAGAATATAATAAAGTTAAAACAGGATATTTTATTTCTAATAAAACTTATTGTTTAGTTTTAGAAGATGGTAGTTTAATTAAGAGATCTAAAGGTTAAATTCTCAATCTTTAGTTCGTTTGGCGACAAAGTCGCCACAGCAAGCTCGCAAGCTCGCAAGCTCGCAAGCTCGCAAGCTCGCAAGCTCGCAAGCTCTGGATATTGTTTAAAATCAAATTATTATTGTAATATTATAGATAACTTGTATTATTATGATATGAACAGTCTATTAGAAACTATAAATTAAATTAGCAACAGAATAATGTAAGCTGTCTAATATTAAAGAAGGATATATTCCAAGTATAACAGTAAATAAAACTAGTATAAGCAATAATGTAAATTCTCTTTTTGTAGTATCAAATATATTTTCTTCAAAGAATTTAGTGAAAGAACCTCCAAATGTAATTCTATTAAACATATATATAGTATATGCAGCAGAAAATACTATAGATGTAGAAGCTAATACACCTAATAATGGTAATTTTTCAACTACTCCATAAAGAGACATAAATTCCCCTATAAAGTTTAATGTTAAAGGAGCTCCACAATTACCTAAAGATAATATAAAGAATAGTATAGAAAATAAAGGCATAAGTTGAGCTATACCTCTATATAAATATATCATTCTAGTACCTGATCTGTCATATAATATACCTCCAGCACATATAAATAGACCACTAGATACAAATCCGTGAGCTAATCCTAAAGCAATACTTCCTTCTATACCTTGAATTGTATTACTAAATGCACCTATTAAATATACAGCGGCGTGAGATACAGAGCTATAAGCAATTAATTCTTTAACATCTACTGTTCTTAATGTACTAAAACTTGCATATATTATAGTAATAACACCTATAGTATATACTATAAAAGTTAGATCTAATGTAGCTTTAGGTAATACAGGTAAAATTAATCTAAATATACCATATAGACTTAATTTTAAAACAATACCAGCTAGTATGATACTTCCTCCTAAAGGTGATTCAACGTGAGCTTTTAATAATCAATTATTTAAAAATATTACAGGTGTTTTTACAGCAAATGCTAAAAATATAGCACCAAATAATATAATTTGAGTAGTATAATCAAAATTTGTTTTAAATAATGCATCAAAATCTGTTGTACCCATTATAGAATACATAGCTAAAATAGCTAATAATAAGAATAAAGATCCTCATACTGTATATAAGAAAAAGTAATAACTTGCTCTTACTTTATTACTAGATCCAAATAAACCTATTAATAAAAATAAAGGAGGTAAAATACTTTCGAAAAATATATAGAATAATAATATATCTGCAACTAAGAAACATCCTAATAATAATGTTTCTAATAATAATATAGTATTTAAATAAAATTTGACATTTTCTTTTATAGAGTTTCAATTCGATAATAAAGCAATAGGCATTATTATAGTTGTTAATAATACAAAATAGATAGAAATACCATCTACTCCTAAATAAATATCAAATAATTGTACATTATAGTGTTCTTGTACAAATTGGAATTGATTTGTACTTGAATTGAAAAATATATAAATTATAAAGGAAAAAATCATATTTATACTAGAAGTTACTAAGGCTATTTGTTTGTAAAGTGTTACATTTTCTACATTAGAGCTTGTAGCTTGCGAAGCCCCGCCTTCATATGAAGTAAAACTCGAGATAATAAATATACCTATAAGAGGTATAATAAGTAAAAGTGCTAATAACATTTTTTTTTTGAATCAAATTTAACAAAGTCTTACTTGGTAGCATAATAAGAAATTATGGCATATGTGCTCATAACCTATGCATTGTACTAAAAAATGTAGAATATCTTATACTCGCTAAACTGTATCTATAGGCTATATTTTATTAATAGTTCTATTAAGTTACTTTCTTAATAAAAAGTTATATTAGAAAAAGTTCTATCATACTATTTAATTAAGGCTACCAAGATTAAACTAAGTAAACTTACTCTAGTATACATGATAATCGAACTCATCTATTTTTCGTAGCCGGAGGCTCGCGCTACGAAAGCTCCTCCTACCTGCAGACGAAGTCGCCAGTACGGGTGGAGTTTACTTTTAAAGTTCAATAAAGTAGCAAACTCTATAATAAGTCAAAACCATCAAATATAGAAGGCATTTCTAATAATTCCTCTTGTTCTAACTCTATAATATAATCAATTGGAGATAAAAAATTTTCACCGCCACCCCCAGGATATTTTCCATATAAGAAATTAGCAAGAAAATCATTTGAAATAATTTTATTTAAAGTTCCACTACTTGAATCCCCTTCACCACTCGAACCATCTCCTGAAGGACCACTAGGTCCAGTACTACCTGGGCCTTTTCTATTATTATTATCATCATCATCATCATCATTAAGATTATTATTATTATTAATATTAGGACGTTTATTAGACTCAATTTCATAATCCGAGTGGCTTCTTTTATGCGAAGAATTTCTTGGATCTTCAGTAGAATTATTTGACTCCGTAAGATCATTACTTTGTTCAAGGTTAGAAGATGGTTGAGGTGAAGCACCATATATATCTTCTTCAGGCGAAGCTGGCAAAGCTGGTGAAGCACCATATATATCTTCTTCAGACGAAGTAGGCGAAGCTGGCGCAGCGGGTGAACTAGGCAAAGCTGAATTAGAGTTAGAAGAAGAATTTGCTTCAGACGAACCAGAGAAACCTGAATCAGAATTAGAATCATCTTGAGCTGAATCGGACGTCGCTTCATCCGAATTAGTTGGACTATCATTAAAACTAGCTAAAGCTATAGCTTTAGCTTTTTCACTATCCATACTCATTTCAGATGAATTAGGACTATTTCTAGCTGAATCTTGGTTATCTGATCCTTCATTCGCATAAGCCCCACCAACATCCTCTATGCTTTTTTCATAACTCTCCTCTTGATTTCTCATAACTGTAGCACCACCAAGATATTCACCAGTAGCTGTAAATAATTGATCCATATTTTTTTGAACTCTAGCCTCAATAGTAGCGGGATCTACGTCAGCAGGTAATTCTGATTGAGCTAATTCAGTAACTTTCTTAGTACAATCTTCCTTTATAATAACTGCTCTTCTCCTTCCTTCATCGTCTTGAGCTTTAATTATATTACCATAGGAAATCTCAGCTAAGTTAGAACTAGATGGTCTACTAGCAGGTACAACTGGTTCAGGAAAGGACGGAGAATTATTATAAACTTCTTCTGAGATTTCATCAATCATGTCTTTTTCTTCCTCAGTTAAGGTTTTTCGAGCATTTAAAAAAGATGTTGTAGAGAATTCAGAACAAGAAGTAAAAACTGATTTGTTTTTTTTTTCAAAGGTGCATAAATAACATATTTTTTGGTTAAATCCAATTTAACAAAGTCTTACTTGGTAGCATAATAGGAAATTATGGCGTACGTGCTCATACTCTATGGTAAAAGAGGTTATTATGATATTTTTACTATTAACATTGGAGATCTACTAATTAACTAAATTTAAGTCTTCCTAGTTATATAATAAATATAGTTAATCACTACTTCCATACGGTTGAGTGAGGGAACGGGACTTTAACTATAAAACAAGAAATGGCTTGGTGTAGCTCGACACTGCTTACTACACCATAAAACAACCAACAGTTTGGTAGATCGATCCTACGAGTACTATTTATACCCTAAAAACATACCGATGCATATCGATAACATCATTAATTATTCCGCACAGGAATATTTGGTAACTACCGTTGTAGTCCCAGAGTCTAAACTCGAAATAACACCGAAAGAATCAAGCCTTACTATACTAGTTTGATAAATCTTAAGATATATAACCTTATATATCTGAGTGATGGATGCTTCGCCTGAATTTATTCTACATTACAGCGAAATAGCTTTTATTTTTTATATTCTAATTTTATAGTCTTTGTCGATGGCTTTATTTCATTTAGATGACCTATGCCATCTAGGGTCTTCAGGCGAAGCATATCCAACTATTTATCTATATTACTTTTTCAAATACCTGCACAAGCTCTAAATATTTCTAATCGAACTTGGCCGGCTACTTCGTAGCAGGCAGCGGCGGCTAGTTCGTGACTTCGTGGCGGCAGCACACCTGTCATAAAAATAATTATTTATACGAGTAAAAGCAATGAATAGTAATATAGATAAAGATCATGGAGGAATCGAACCTCGTACTTAAGATTTGCAGTCAAAGTGTAGACCATCTACTTCACAATCTTTGATTTTTAATAAAACTTTATTCTTATAATATTCATTTAGTCTCTTTCTTGAAATATTCAATTACCATCAGACATATAATCTTCAGGCGTATTTCGGTTAACTGCCACCTGTGTAAAAATTTTTAAACTACGATAATATTCAATTCGGTCTAGCAGATAGTTATTGGAAAGATTGTACTGCCGATTGCTAGTCAACCATTGATGGAATTCATGATGTTGACTACATGTTATATTATTATTAACTAAATCTCGGTGTAATGTTATATGATTTTCTATAATCGAATTTAAATAATTATATAGACCACGATTTACATACCTAGTACCTTGATTATTACCAGTAAAATCGCTCATTTCTACAGGTATTAAATCTGCAGAACTATTTTGATAAATCAAATTGGTTAACTCAACTCAATATTCATATGGCCTAAGCTCAAACATTCATGGAAACATCATTGAAAAATTAAACATACCCAAATTTAAATAATCATTATAATTAACTGTTATATTATATCTCGCTAGCCTAAACATCTGTATTCTTTGCATTATACCTTGCGGTGATACATCAACCGGAGGATTAAAATAAGTTGAAAGAATTTGGTCAGTCAAAACTGAAGGACGAATAGAATTCATTGCTCAATCGCTAATATGTTCGGCATATTTTAAGCTTAGAAAGTCTATCTCATTTAGTCCCTCCCCATTTCAGCAATAAATAGTCCAATAATCCCAGTGAGCCCAAGGTAAATATTGCATTCAAATATAAATAAGGGTGTAAGAAATAATATCTATATAATACAAAAGGTCAAAATTCTTAAATGCAAAAATAAAAATTGTAATTAAAGATAAATAAGATAACAATATAATCATTAAAGCTAAAATGAAGAAAAAATAAGATAACCATCTACTGATTAAAAAGGGCGGTGTCATTTTTGTTTTAACGAAACCGGCAAGTACTTACATATTTAGCAGTATTTTCTATTAAACTTACAGAAGGTACTATAACTAAGAAGTAAGCAAAGTATAAAATAGTAGAGATTTGCCCTAATTCTATAAATGGAGATTCAACATGTTTAGCCCCTAATTGCATTAATATTAAGAAATTTGCAACAAATACATAGAAGAATGCTTTACTTAAAGGTCTAAATTGGTAACCTTTGGTTTCCCCTAAGTCTGTATAAGGTAATGTTAATATAATTAATATAGCACTAAACATAGCAAGAACTCCTAATAATTTATTAGGAATAGATCTTAATATAGCATAGAAAGGTAATAAATATCATTCTGGAACTATAGCAGCTGGAGTTTGCATAGGATTAGCCATTATATAATTATCACTGTCTCCTAAAACATTAGGCATGAAGAATACAAATAAGCTTAATCCAAATACAAAGATAAATATAGTTATTAAATCTTTAAATAGATAATAAGGAGCAAAAGGTATTCTATCGTAATTACCTGAAACACCTAAAGGGTTACTTGACCCTACTGTATCATGTAAAGCGATTAAATGCATTAAAACTAATGCAGCTAATACAAATGGTAATACAAAGTGTAAAGCAAAGAATCTGTTTAAAGTAGCGTTATTAACGCTAAAACCTCCTCAAACGAACTCAACGATATCTTGTCCAATTCATGGAATAGCACTTATAAGGTTAGTGATAACTGTAGCACCTCATAATGACATTTGTCCATAAGGTAAAACATAACCCAAGAAACCTATTCCCATCATAGCTACAAGTATTATAGTACCTATAACTCAAACTAATGTTCTGGGAGCTCTGTATGAACCGTAGTACATACCTCTTCCTACATGTAGGTAAACCAAGAAGAAGAAAGCAGAAGCTGTATTACTATGTAAATAACGTATTAATCATCCATTATTTACATCACGCATTATATGTTCTACTGAGTTAAATGCTTCAGCAATACTAGGGTTATAGTGCATAGCTAAAGTTACACCTGTTACTATTTGTATACCTAAACAAACTGCAAGTAAAGAACCGAAATTTCAAAGATAGCTAATATTAGTAGGTTGTGATGTATCAATAAGATACGAATTAGCTAATTTTAATAAAGGATGACTTTTTAAAATTCTCATGTTATATTGATAAAAATTTGGATATTTATTTATTTCTATGAGGGCGTAAGCTCTAATAATTAATACAGTATGAAAATACATTTCTTAGCCCCGACTTCGTAGGGGACTCGTGTGATATTAATTGTACTCTGTGTATTAAGTGTACGGATACACCGAAAAATAGAAATAAATATTTAAAATTTAAATAGAAATTACTAAATAATAGGATGAATTAAATTTTTTTAGGCGAAGCGGCGAAGCGGCGAAGCGGCGAAGCGGCGAAGCACAAATCGCGTTTATTAACCTATATATTTATTAAATATATCTAGAATGTAGTGTATACAATTAAATTCAAATTACAGCTATATATTAAAATAGAATTATTTCTACATAGCTTTATTATTTAAATGAAATAAATTTAAAAACTAGCTCATACTCGATAAAGTATCTAACAAGTTTCTATTCATTCCATACTAATTAAATTATTAATAAATAAGATATATTATATCTAGTATATGATACTATTTAATTAAGGCTACTAGCAAATAATTGATATAAACACTATTATTAATAATTACGACGTTCATTAAGATATCTACCCAATAATTGACTATTAATGTTATTAGGGTCATATTTCAGATGGTAAATTTTCTCGTTATTCTTAGATATTTCAGATTTAATTCTAGCTACTTCTACCAAATTTTCTTCTGAAGGCATTACAAGTAATTTATTTAGATCAGATTTATATCTATAATTTTCATACTCCAAAACAGCCATATTTTCCATTAAACCTCTGATATTAGCCCTTTCGTTAAAATGATATCTTTCAGCTAATCATTCTTCATAAACGGTAATCTCCCTCATACTGTAAACTCTACTACGTCATAATCATTGCACAATCGGATTGCCGTAATTACTAGGTAAATTACCAGAATCCATACCTACAATTTCTTCTTCTATGTAAGTAGTCATGTTGCTATTTCTAATTGGTCTTATCGTAGACAATATTCTGCCATGGCGAGTACGACTAATCGTTATATCTGTTGTATTGTTAGTACCTGAAGTACCACTATTACTTGTAGGATTAGAAAGAGTATTACCAGGTTCATTTGGACCCATAGTCATAAAAATAGTAAAAGAACCTTCCTCAATTATACCTTTAAGTCCTAATCTTGCTGTTAATCCAAAAAACCCTGCTATAATATTCTCCTTAAAAGGAGTATCCGCTAAATTAAAGAAATCTAATAAATAATAAGGAATATTAAAATATTTAATTAATGTTACTACCATTAAACTAAGTAAACCTATTGTAATATTTACAGCTGTAAAATTTTTACAAAATTTGTTAAATAATATTCTCATGGTTTTTTATTTTTTTTTTCAAACTATTCGGGTACAATATATTTCTATATTGTTAATACTATCAATTTTAATCCTATCTTCAGGTTAAACCCTACAGGATAAAAATAAATGTATACTTAAAATACATGAGATTCGAACTCATTGTATTCTGCTTTGTGCCTTGTTAATTAAAAATTAACTATTCTTTTTTGGGATGTATGCCAATTACATCACTACTACTTCTTCATAATTATATTATTAATTTCATGATAATTCACCAGAGCTGAGCTATCCATTATTAATTAATATTGTTTTCCGCCATAAAGTGTTAAAATACTAACTGAAAATAGTAAAACTAAAGAAGATAAATCTAAGTTTCCGGGATGGAAAGAGTAGTATATAGATATATATGCAATGAATCCTATTAATATGAATAAGGCATAATTTGTAACAACACCTGTATTCAGACTAGAAATAATTTTACTAATTTTAATTAATAATTTTTCTAAACCAAAAGGACCTAAAAGTTCTATACTACCTTTATCTAAAATTTTGGTTGTTTGACCACCCATATTTAAAACTAAGTTTACAATATATTTATTATAGAAATATTCAACTAAGAAACGTTGGTTAAAGAATCCATAAATGGTATGACCTAAATTAGATAATTTAAAGCTGTTTATTAAATTAGGGAAAAATTCGGAATAAATTATAGCTATAGTTGTAAATGATACTGTAAAGAATAAAGGTAATAATTTAAATGTAGTAGGTACAGCAAATTCTGTATCTATTAATATTTCATGTATAGGGTGAATAAATATACTGTTATCTGTAAAGAATCCTGAACCTAAACCTATAAAAATATCTTTAGTTATATATCCAAAATATATAGAGAAAATAGCTAATACTACTAAAGGTAAACTTAAGAATATATCACCTTCATGTGCATGTTTGTAGGAAACTATATTACCGTTAGGATTTGCTAAGAAAGTTAGATATAAAACTTTCACAGAATATAAAGTAGTAAATATTGCACCTATAACTGCAATAACATAAACAGCAATACTACTAAAGTAATATTGTCCATAAGCAGATTCTAATATGAAATCTTTACTATAAAATCCTGTCATAAAAGGGAAAGCTACTAAACTAAGACTTGCTATTAATATAACAGAATAAGTTAATGGTAAGAATGCTCCTAATCCACCATATTTTCTTAAATCTTGGTTATCAGCTACTGCATGAATAACTGCACCTGCACCTAAGAATAATAATCCTTTATAAAAAGCATGATTAACTAAATGGAATAAAGCTATATTATATGAAGATAAACCAATAGCAATAACCATCATACCTAATTGACTCATAGTAGAGTAAGCAATTATTTTTTTAATATCTTGTTGGAATAAACCTACAAGAGAACTAAATACTGTTGTTATTGCACCTAATCATAGACATATTAATAATACAGTAGAACTATATTCAATTAAAGGAGATGAACGTATTAATAAATATACTCCAGCTGTAACCATAGTAGCTGCGTGAATTAAGGCAGAAACAGGTGTAGGCAATTATGTTGATTTTCATTATGTACTTTTATTGTACGTATACGATGAAAATACTCAATAACTTACGTTATTGTTCGGACTATATCTTCAATTAATTGATAAGTTTAGATAAAAATTTGATAATAATTTTTCCTTGAGATGTTTGATGTTTTTTATTTTTAACCAATCCATAAATTTTTAATCATCTTTTATATGATATGAATTTTTTAGTTTGTAATGGATAATTTTTTAAATATAGTAAAATTTTATTTAATTTACCAAAATTTACTACTGTATTATATCCATTATAACTTTTAACATGAGTAACATAACCATTGATTTTGTCGGCTAAGTCTTTACTAAATCCTATATCATCTTTCTGAGATATAACATATCTTACAGTTGTTATAGTTTGACCAGTTGACTTCGATACTGAAGTAGAAGAAGTAAAACAACCTTCAGCGTCAGTAAATCCTGATAGTCATGCATTATTTAAAGTTAACTCATGTTTATTTTCTATACAATCTATATTTGTTTTATATATTTTGTTAAAAGCATCAACTCATACTTTAAATTGATTTAATTTATAATTAGTTACAATATTACCATTAAATATTTGAATTAATTTATGTATATTTTTTTTATCTCTAACTCTATAATGATGAGTTTTATTTATTTTATCTTGTACAGATACGGATCCGAATCCTAATTCTTTCTTTATATAAAACAGTATTTGAGCATCCACACTAGATTGTGTGATTTTAAACTCTAAATACTGATCTTTATTTACAATAAAGGATCCGTCTCCTTCGCTAAAACCTATAAATCATCATTTAAACTTATCATTTTTATTAATTGCTTCACATGTAGTCTCTGAGGAGCCTTCATTTTTTATGAAGTTTCCTGCGGATTGTCCCTCTTCTTGGATTTTGCCGAAGTCTATTCAATAGACAGAGGACCAAGAATTTAAAACGGGATGTTCCCGCATATAGTGAAGTTTAAGGAGAGCCCTGTTTAACAAACCCTCCATAGCCATAGGTAATCAAATATGAAGACCTACTTGAGAACTTTTTGCCATAGCACCTATTAATAAGCATATACCTATTATAGTAATAATGTTTTCATTAATATAAGGACTTAATGAAAATACTGTAGTATAGTCTAGATTACCTAAAGATCATAATATTGCAAACATACCTATAGTTAAAAGACAATCCCCTACTCTATTAGTTAAGAAAGCAGACATGGAACTTTGATTAGCTGCTATTCTAGTAAATCAAAAACTAACTAAAAGGTATGAACAAACTCCAACACCTTCTCATCCAACAAACATTAATAAATAATTATTAGCAGTTACAAGTATGATCATCATAAAAGTAAATAAGCTTAAATAACTAAAAAATCTTTGATTGTGAGGATCTGCACTCATATAACTTATAGAGTATATATGAACCAGAGAACTAATTATTAATACAGGAATTAACATTGAAACTGTTAAACTATCAAATTGAAAGCTTCAAACAATGTTAAATGATTCACTGTTAATTCAAGGAAATAGATGTAAGTAAACAGGACTATTATTAAATCCTACCTCAAAAAACGCCACGATAGCTAAAGTTGTTGTAATTATTATACTTGAACAACCTAAAAAACGTGCTCCACTAACTCCGACTTTTCTTCCAAAAAATCCGGAAACTATTGACCCTAATAGGGGTAAAAATATTATACTTAAATACATTATTTATATTCTATTGCTATACTTCCTCTTAATCTATAAAAAGCCACTAAAATACCTAAACCTATTGCGGATTCAGCTCCCGCAATAACTATAATATATATAGCATAAGTTTGTCCTATTATATCATCCATATTTACAGAGCTTATTAATATTAAAAATGTTATAGATAATAACATTATTTCAATGGAAATAAGCATTAATATGATATTTTTTCTATTAAATACGAACCCTAAGATTCCTATTAAAAAAAGTATTAAAGTTAAACTCATATATTTTTTTTATTATATTTCAAACTATTCGGGTACAATTATATTTCTATATTGTTAATACTAATAATTTTAATCCTATCTTTAGGTTAAACCCTACAGGATAAAAATAAATGTATACTTAAGGTACATGAGAATCGAACTCATTTATTTTAACCAATTTACGTTAAAGTAATACCTTATATCATCTAATTAAACTAGACAATTTTTTGGAATATTCTATATAAAATGGTGCTTCGCCTGAAAAAACATTCAATGTGAGCGCTTGCTTGCTTGCTAGGAAGTATCCGACTTCACTACGTAGTCGCTACGAAGTCCTACGTCGAGCCTACAATAATTA